TGTTTCTTCTTGTACAGTACCGTATAACCCTTGATATTCCTTAAACAAATCCTCAAAAAGAGTTATAGCATTATCTCTTTCATTTTTCCATTCTACTAAATAGCTGTAGTAATAACTATTTTTATCTAAAAAAACAACTGTAGTAATACTCAATTAGAATTTTAAAATTTTCAATCTTAAATCGTGGATCACAAATAATACCTATTTTATAAATATCAGGAATGTACAAATAATAAGTACACCATTTATCTCTCATAGGAGACACATAAGGGTACAAATCTGGATCAGCCGTACTTTCACGAAAACATGTTGCGATTGTAATGCACTCTTTAAAAAATGTATTTGTAGTTGGTTGGTAAACATGGGAAAAAGTAAGATTGCGTTATTAAAAACTTCTAATACGGCATTCAATTTTTCAACAATAACAAATTAAAAAGGATTAATGACTATACGAAGTTCATCCCTAAAAAAATTCAGCAAGTTCCTCTTTATATCTTAGGATCTGTGCAATCAATTTGTAAGTACTATTCCATCTAATGTTGATATCTCTGGCAAAACTTATTTCTTTTTTACCCTTAGACTTACAGAACATCTTCCAGGATCTCGAAATAAGACGAGCCCCCCCAAATTTTTTTAATTCCTTCTTTAATATTTGTCAAAACTCCGCTCATAGCTTGTAGTCCCTGTTGAACACATAAATTTAAAACATGACATGCACACCGTTGATGCAGAAATCTACCCATAGTCGTAGACGGTGGGCAAATTTCTCTAAGTCTCGGAACAGACCAAGGTTGTACCACGACGTCCCTTTGGAGCGAGCGAATGCCTTCCCTTCGGGAGTCTGCCCCCTATGCCTTGAGCAAATCATGCATGCGAGCGAAGGCCTCCTCCTAGAATGCACCCGAGGATATGAACTCGGCCACGGCCTGATCACGATGCCTGACGAGCTTGCTCCTTGGCCGCCTTCAGCGCCTCATTAAGGTTGGCTATCTCAATATAGGCCCTGCTCTGGTCATCCTCACTGGCGCGCAACCGTTGACTCATGTCGACCATGCGCATCATCGCCTGCAAATAATTAAGGGATGAGTACCATAGTTGAATTACATTCATAAGGCATGACAAGGGAAACTTATCGAGCCCAGCTCGTGGAAGGTAGCTGAGGCCAAAGTCTCCCGATTGATATCTTTTATCTTCGCGCGATCGGCGGGAGGAGTGAAGCTACGCAGGAAGGTCTCCGGGTCGTAGTCCTGATCTAGAAAGGAGACCCGAGCGGGGAAGGCTGCCTTGACGTACTTAGGATTGCCGAAATCCTTCATCATGGGGGACTCGGACCCCTGCGGAGCATCGGCGGCCGAGGCCGTTTCCTTCCTCTTCTTTTTCTGGGCCGTCTCGGAGGTTGGCTTCACGAGTGGAGTCGGGGGACGGCCGCCCGAAGTAGGGGCCTGGGAGCTGTTGCTCGGAGCATCCGGGAACATGAGCTTCACCCGCTCGGCGTTGGAGAGCATGATTTCACCTGCACAAAACCAAAGAAGACAAGTGGTGAGGCGAGGAATTAAACTGCAAAAAAGCGATGTTGGGAAGTCCGAGGTGGTCGCGACCCACAGACGGGCGAGGAGGAGAGATCGCACTGACCTGAGGGGCCTTCTTCGATTCTCCGCTAAGTGTCTTCCGGGGATAGGAAGACTAAGCCGAGTGCCGCCAACGCCTCGTTCGTCACTATCGAGCCGACTTCGAAGGGCCCCCCCTTGGCAGAGCGTCTCTACGTCCTCGAGCATCTAGTCCGAGGTGACGCACGCGGAACAACGGTGAAAGGAGCTGAGGGGTTATTTAAAAGGGGAGCCTGAAGAACGAGAGACGAAGATGAACTTCCTCTTCCAACTCTTGGCGGAATCCTTCCTCGTTTTGAAGAGCTTCTCTTTCTGTTGGAAGATAGATGCATACGAGCCTGAGTCGGAGTTCGCGCGGCCCGACGACTTCGCCAACCGGAAGAGCAACAGGAAGCGGGCCAGATCGGGGCGAACCCCGGTCCTTTGGCATTGAATAAGGAACCCCGCCAAGTAACGATGGGATTTGGGCACGACTTGGCAAGGAAGAAAATCAAAATGGAGGAAAAAATTTATGACTAACTAGTGGAGGGGGAAGCGGAACCCATACTCGAGGGACTTGAGGTGGATGGCGAAGAAACCCGGAGGGGCGTCAAAGACTGACTGCTCGGGGGTGGGACGACGCACGGCCACACCCGGCGCCGAGGCTAGGCGCTTCACCTTGCGGAACTCCTCCCCGGTAAGGGTGCACTTCCGCGCTCGGATCCCCGAGTCCTCAAGTGGTCCACCTTTGGTTGCGAGGCTCGGACTGAGGAGGGACCTCGACCGCCGCGACTATGTCCTCGACGGAAGGTGAGCGGGATTCGATCTCTTGCGCGGAGCCGATGACAGAGCCCTCGGCATCGCGCTCGGACTCGGACTGACGAAATACTAAGGATTGGGAAGACATGGAAGAGCAAGGCCGAGGAAGACTAACCTAGTACGGAGCTGAAAAATGGATGAGAACGACGGCAGGAAGGCTAGCGACGGCAAAGAGTCTCCTACTTTCTCTCTCTAAAAGTGGAGAATGAAGTGGGTAGGGTTGGTATTTATAGAGGAAGAGTTGAATGGGTGCAATGATGGGCTGCCACTTGGCCTAGGGAGGCGAAACGGCGCACCCCTTCATGATGGTGAAGCCCAAACGGCACCAATGGCCTCCCAACTCCTCCACATGGGCCCCCGCGCCGCTTTCCTACAGTACCCATACTCTCTCGTATTCCGTCGCCAGTTCCAACGAAACCCGGAGAGTGGGGGGCTTATGATGGAGGACGACTCCAAAAGACGCGTCAGCCGGACCCCATTAGCCACGTGGAAGATCTTCTCTGCTCGGCTAATGAGCTCGGCTCGCCCTATGGGCTCGGCTAGGGACCGTGGTAGTGACCGGCATATAGCGACCGGCCGTGTTGACTGCGCGATAGCAACGGGATGAAAGGGACAACGCGTAACAGAGATGACGTCCGCTAGGCGACGAACCTCGGTCAGAGAAACTTTGACCATGTGTATTGTATCCCCTATAAAAGGGGCGAGACCCTTCATTGTAATGGATCGAAGTTTAGAACAAATAAACTCCTACTTTGCATTCTCTCTCTCTAAAACTTATCTCAATTTTATTCTCGGTGGTTTATAACCATCACCGCGAGTTTCATTGACTCTATCAGATACCAGGTTGTCATTTAAGTTCCAAAAGAGACAATTTCCGGTTATGGTATCGTATGCGATGACCATAAACAGAAGTCAGGAACAGTCTCTCTCTCATGTTGGTTTATTCTTGAAAAAACCTGTTTCTAGGGTATGGCCTCGCGAGGGTTTAAAATTAATGATATGTAACTCTAATAATACTTCATGTAATAATACAGTTAATGTAGTATATAATGAGGCGTTTGAGAATGCATGATTAATGTTTAATATACGTTGTTTACTTTACTTCATTTTAATAGTAAATATTGAGTATAGTCTCCTTTTAATACACATCTTTATGTTAGTTCTATTTATAATATATAAAAAAACTTAATGATTTATGATAAACTTTATCTTTCCGTGCATCGCACGAGTGATGCACTAGTAACCTTTAAAACGCAAAAGCCCATTTACGGATCAGGCCCAAATATTTTCATTTGCCTATTCTCGTGATTTCCAAATCATCCCCCACCTTCGAAATTCAAATTCATTCTCTAGAATCCAAGTGTTTCCTACACAACATCACTGCGCTCGAAGCTATTGTCCGCGGCACAACATCACTACGGAGGAAGATTACCATGCAGAAGGAAAAAATTGCAGAAGCTTCTTCTTCATTGAGGTATGAGATTTTTACTTCTATTATTGTTAAATATCCTCTCTGAATTCCGAACTTATCAAATCTTAATCGGAAAGATGTCAAACCCTAATTGGAACATTTTTAAACCAAAATCGTGTTGAGCTCCAAAGCAATTTCATCTGCCATTATACTAATTCTCGCATTGAAGTGTAAGCTACCAAAATCGTACGCACTTATACTCATTCTCATATAGAATGGTACTCGCTTGTATTCTGAAGAGTTGTTAAGTTCATTCTCGTAAGGGCCATAAAAAATGTCACATAACATGTCCATTCAAGTAATAGATTTAATTATTTACATTTTAGTATGTGTCATAACACATTGGCATGTATATTGGTACTCATTTTTATGGGTCTAGTACTTCTGCTTATGATAGATGGTAAAGTTCATTCATATTGGGATTTGTAATATGATCATTGTCCTGTTTGGTTGAACACATTATGATTTATAATCGTACTCATTTATACTTTCTGAGCATGGAGAATTTTAAACTTAGATTTAGTCATGTTTGTATTGAATAAGAATATGATAATTCTCATAAGTGTTGGTACTCCTTCTCAAATCTGCTGGTACTCATTGTCATAAATAATAGTTCTCATATATGTTTTGGGCATTGGATAGATGTCATGGTTGTTTGGTTTCATTTTGGATAGTGTGCTAGTAACCAATTTGGTGTGCTTTTGATTCAAGTAATGGATTGAATTATGTCCATTCTTGTATATGTTATCAGTGATTCTCATCTATAATGGTCCTCATTTGTAGTCCACACAAAAGGTGCATGTTATGTTTGTGATAGTAAAGCTCATTCATATTGGGATTTGTAATATGATCATTCTAATGTGTTCCAGTGTACATTATGACTTATTCTGGTATTCAATTAAACTCTAAATACTGAATATGATTATTCTCATTCTGTACAGACAACTTAAAGCCCAAGGTTATTATTTTTGTGTGTGGTAAGAATATGATCATTCTCATAATTGCTGGTACTCCTGTTACAGAATAATACTCAGATATTGAACTGTGTAGCTAAAAATCTTATTGAAATGTGCATGAAAATTATGCAGTAAAAAAGCCATGACGGAAATTCCTCTACTACGTGAAGAACCAAATGTTTTCACTAAAGTAAATCTGAAGAAAATGAAAGGGACTGAGAAGGAATCCAAATTTGGGAGAAAAATGCAACTGAGAAAGAGAAAGAAATGGATACCAGGAAAAAATGCTGAGCAGGAAAACAATCAAGCTCAAGAAGATCCAATTTCACAAGAAGATGAAATGCCGAGCATTGAAAAGATTGACCAATTAAACGGTGAGAAGTTTTTGGTAGTAGAAGTTGAGATCGAAGCAAACTCAGAGCAAAAGAGAGAGGAAGCTGACCAAGGAAATGATGAAGAGGAAGAGTGTGCTATGACGAAGAAAGATGGCCCAACCGAAAGAAAAGGAAAGAGGAAATACAAAAAGATAAAGAGAAAGAAAGGAATACCAGAAACAATGCCGAGCAGGAAAATAATCAAGCTCAACAAGATCCAATTTCGCAAGATGATGAACTGCTGAACATTGAAAACATTGACCAATTAAATGGTGAGAAGTTTTTGGTAGCAGAAGTTGAGCTCGAAGGAAACACTGAGCAAAGGAGTTCAAGAGATGAGCTAAACACTGACCAAGAAATTGGTAAAGATGAAGTAAACACTGAACAAGAGTGTAGTGAAGAGGAAGAATGTGTTAGGAAGAAGAAAAGTGCAACAGTAGAAAGAAAAGTTAAGATGCAATACAAAAAGAGAGAGAAAAAGAAAGAAAAAAAGAAACGGGTGGTGGGAGAAGAAGGAGAACTGTATAAGATTGGTGTGAAGTCCATAAAAACAAAGATGTCACCAAAAACAACAACTGAGCTGTTTAAAAATATGAGTGAAGAACAAAAATAAGATGTTAGAAAAATGGGGTTTGGTAAGTTGTTACAGTTGGATATCACACATCTTCCTCTGCAGTTAGGTTACTGGCTGGTGGAAAATTTTGATACCAGAAGTGTTTCGCTGAGTTGCCAGGTAAAAAAGAGATTCACATTGATGAGACTTCCATTCATAGCACCACCAAATTTCCAATGGGATGAGAAAATGTGATGAAAAAGGATGGAGAGAAATCTGAAGAAGCAAGAGGAGTGATGAGAGCTTGGAAGTTACAATTTCCAATTCAGAAAGGGACAATTAAAATATCAGATATGAGAAAAAGTGTTGAAGAGAATGAGGAGGAGAAATGTTCAAAAGGAATTTAATGGTATTGATTGTCAGTTTTCTAATTGGAGGGAAGCAAAAATGTTCAGCAGCACATAAAATTGTGAATGCTTTAGTAAACGTGTCTGAAATAAAAAAAACATGAACTAGTGCTTATATATAACAACCAAACACTTTGTGTCAATGTAAACCATCAAAATTTAGTACATATCTTTTAGTGTGTACAAATTTTGGGTCTTGTTTAAAATATGAGCAAGGCTAGGGGTACACCTTTGGTGTACCCCATTTGTCCCCCACGCTCTTCTCCACCACACATATGTATTTGATTTTTAATTATTTATTTATTTTTAAATTTTAACCCATTTATATGTTGAAGGAGGTGGTGGAGCACAAATGGGGTACATCTTTTGGTGTACCCCTATCATTTTTCTTAAAATATACTTAGGCACATGAGTTTTTTGCAAAAATGGTTGCCCGAGGCTCACAGGGGAGTAATTACTCTTGTCGTCAGTTGTCAGCAGAGCCACCCAAGTCTTGCTCCCACAACTGAGTTTTGAAATGTGAATTTCTAGTTTTAATCGGAAAACCCTAATCCATACGAAATGCTGAACTGTTTTCTACGCTCTCTGCCGTTAGCATTCTCATGTCTTCTGCTTCTGTTCGGAGATTCCTACTCAGTGAGCCCATATCTAACCCATTCATTCTTCAGCTTTTTTCTATTTGATTCTGCAGTGGAAATTAGAGTACAGTGATACAATTTGTAGATGTAGGTTTAGCAGGTTGCTTTTTATAGGCAGCTTTTCCATGATTTATGAATTTCAGTTTTGCGTTTCCTTTTCCAGGTTTCTGGCCCTTCTAAGAACCCGGCTTATGGTGAAGGTTTGACTTTTATTTTGTTTCTTTAATACTCTATTTGGAAAATGCTACAAATTTGAATGCTATTTGTTGGGATAACTTGATTTAGTTTAGCAACAATATTATCTTTGTGGTTCCTGCTCGGGCTTTTTGCACCAGGCTGCCCTTTATAACAACAGATACATTGCGTATGCAAGTGAGTGGAATGTCGATATAAAACCTTGGGAAAACGAATATGCTCCCTTAACCTATATCTAGGTTTAGTTGTCTACCTTATAAAACATCTCATTTTAAGGCATTAGTGTCAAATATCGAAAAAGTCCCTTAACTATACTTTTTATTCATTGATGCCATATGCTATCTATATGTTTTTTTCTCAGATTGTTTACTAAATATGGTTACTAAATAACTTTTTATTCTTGAGACCCCATTACCCCAACACAAGGAAGAAGACAACGAAATCCAGACGAAGATAGTTAACTAATTTGGTTGTCCATTTTGATGACAGTGATGTTTCTTCATTTTAATTCAAACTTATTTGAGTGTTTGTAGTTCATCTATTTGCACAGTTCATGCTAAAAAGGCTTATTTTCCATACAGAACCATGTGATCCCAATTGGTTCAGTGCCC